TGTCGAATATTCGTAAGAGGGTATTTAAGGGTTACTTAGCTGTTTAGGAGTTTGTATCTTTCTTTTCGCTATCGCTCGCCTTGTAGTGAAGGCCGGCTCGTTCGCCCGCCCTCTCCCGCCCAAACTTGCAATAGTCTCATAAGAATTTTAGTGAAAGTTAGAGCGATCTGTTGAGTATTATAGGCTCCACGGCTACAGTGGAAGTGTGAAACTTGATGGTGAAAGTGTGAAACTTGATGGTGGAAGTGTGAAACTCGATGGTGGAAGTGTGAAACTCGATGGTGGAAGTGTGAAACTTGATGGTTGAAGTGTGAAACTTGATGGTGGAAGTGTGAAACTTGATGGTGGAAGTGTGAAACTTGATGGCGGAAGTGTGAAACTTGATGATGGATGGTGAAACTTGATAGTGAAAGGGTAAAACTTGATGCGGAAGGGTGTAACTTGATAGCGAAAGGGTGAAACTTGATGATAAGTGTGAAACTCGGTGGTACAAATGTGAATCCTGGTGGCAGAGAAATAAATGAGCGATTTCAAAGTTAAGTTATTTGTTTTTAGATACATATATATTACTTGTATAATGGCGTAAATTCAACAGCATTAATTATTTTGCTTATTATAGTTAATCGATAACAGTCACACAATTGTTGCGTAGAAATTTTACATAAATATCCAAAGGTCTGAAAATAATAAGGAATTATTTTAACAAACATATTATAAAACAACCCATGGGTCGATCACGAGGTTACTGATTTGAATCACACTGAGGGATAACAGCCATGCTAGGATTGTAATTGAGGATTTAATTCCAAGTTACGCAATTATATGATACAGTTATTATTATAAATTTTGAAATACCTAATAAAAATTGCAGAATGGTCTTTTGGCCGTTCCGGTTAAGTTATTATTTCGGTATAATAGTTTCAATAAAATTACAAAATGTACGTACATAACTTTTATATTAATTAATACAGTGACACCTGATTATTCACATGAATTACAAAAATTTTGCCAACATTACTAGACTTGCCAGCTCTATAAAAGTTCTGACCGATGTTTAAAATTACATGTCAGAAACTTACACGTAACAATTATGCAAATTTTCATCCTATATATCCCTATATTCCTATACATAAGAGACATGTGCACTTTAACATTATAAATGTGGCACGTTCAATATTATTAAATTTTCGTTTAGTTTGCGCAAAAAAATATATATTTCAATTTACAATGTAATCTATATTTATATAACGTAACGCAAATTTAATTTATATACCGATCATAACGAAGCCACTACTTAATCGAATCGGCTGAAAAATCATTCGACATTTTTTATCAGGTGTTTCAGAAATTATGATGACAGCTGTAAGACAAAATACAGAGAGACCTCTCTAAGTACACCCTCTATAAATGCACTATTTATGTAAAATCTCTTTAAATGCACGATATAATCTAGTCCAGCTTATAATTGTTCTATATATTTTTCTCTCTACAAATGCACACCCTCTCTAAGTGCACATTTTTAGGATTTTTCACTATACCCCGAGGGGGGGGGGTGCATTTAGAAAGGTCTCTCTGTAAAAGTATTTTCTGTAAAATTCCGGCTGAAAATAGGGTTGGATCGGTCTGAACTGGTCCGTTTCGGTCTCTAATAAGACTGGTTTCAATAGTATCTCTGGTCCCTGGTCTCAAAAATAAGCTATTTTTTGTGTGATTATCAATTTTAGCTATCATTACCGAAATAAAATTCATGAAATAATAGTTTTTTAACATTATTTATAGTTTTTTTTTTTTTTTTAACTTCTTAAAAATGATTTTAATAGTTTTTAATAGTTAATTATTAATCGGACTGAACTGGTTAAAAAACTGGAAACCGAAAACTACGTAACTGGTCAAAAAGATCGGTCTTTAATCGGACCGATCCAACCTAGCGAAAAATCGATAGAATTAGACTTTTTTTAAATTATGAAAAAAATTAGACACTCAATTAGGAAATTATGATATACAATTTTTATACATATTTCTTCGTTGATTTTTACTTCAAATAAGGGTAAGATGGGGTTAGATATAAAGTTCCAAACTTTAGTTAGGTTAGGTTTTGGGGTTCTGAATATTTTCGCTTGCACCCTGACGTGAATTAGTAGGACCGGGAAAACTATATCTAAGGTCCCCGTCGCACTATAATTCGAAAAATACTTTAAAATATATAAATGTCACCGCCCAAAATAATTAATAAAGTCACGTGTTGATTCGCAACACTAAGAATTTTGGCGATGGTCTACGGACACATACCAATTCATGTGATTTTGCACGTACAGGAGGCGGCAAAAGTAACGCCCGATGATCAATTTCATAGCAAAATTCATATAAAATCTTTTTTAGGAAATTTTGTCATCAGATGGACCTGGTGAAAATTATACATATAAAATATAAATATCAAATTTTCTAATCATATAAAATTAAAAAAATATTTATTATTAAAATTTTGGATTTTTAACAATTTTAACATTTCAGATTTTTACTATGTTTTTACTAAGTAAATTTTGCAAAATTTAATTGTAAATGTTATGTTATATTAAAACTTATATTT